TGTTGAGAAAATTCGCCCGAAGCTCCCGACCTACACACCAAAAACGACGAAACACGAAGAAAACTGAAAAAACAAACTAAAAACACCTAAAGACTCAAATGAAAGAAAACACATAATAAAATATGAAGCAGACTAAAAACAAAAGAAACAACCTAAAACTGAGAAAAAAGCAAAGCAAAACAAGCACGAAAAATGTAACAAAAATGGAACAAACAATGTGCATTGGCAACTACTGTTGGTGAATTCAACCAATATCTTGATGAGATGAGGGAGCTTAGTCAAGAGGCAGTAGAATGGCTCAGTGAGAAACCACCATCAGAGTGGAGCAAGTCACATTTCAGTGAAGTCCCCAAATGTGACATTGTATTGAATAATGTATGTGAGACATTTAATGGAAACATATTGGAGGGTAGGGACAAACCATTGTTCATAATGTTGGAGTGGATTAGGCAATATCTATTCAGCAGACTTCAAAAAAATAGGGATAAGGTTGCCAAACTTTGGAAGGATGGGTGGTGTCCAAAAATTAGTGAGATCCTTTCTCATAATGTTGAACAAGTGTGTGACTGCATTCCTTTGAATTGTGATCATGCAAACTGGGAGGTGTCTTGTTTCAATATGGGGCAATTTAATGTGAAACTTGATTTGGGGACTTGCACTTGCAGAAAATGGGGTTTGACTGGATTACCTTGCCCTCATGCTTGTAGTGCAATGTATATGTCCAAAATGGACCCATTTGATAATGTAGCTACATGTTATTCTGTTGCTACATATCACAAAGTCTATGAAATCATAGGGAGTTGCGGATAAGAGCTTATATATTCCACTGTTACCCTCCAAATTTTGGTAGAGGTATGTGGAGACCTAGTAAGTCAAGAAGACTTGAATCTAGTGAGAGGCCTTCTGAAGAAAAAACCAAAATACAAGGAAATATGAGGTGCACAAACTTAAAAGGGAACAAAAAACAATTAAGTGCAAGAATTGTGGTGTTTTGGGACATAATAGAAAAACATGTAATAGGAAAACCTCCAATGAAGAAGTTGGGATGGGATCACATAATGTTCAACCACCTCAGGATGATAGCTCAGTAATTGCATTGAAGTCTAGGGCACTATTCTAAGCTTTGTAATTTCTAATTGCTCTTTATTTTTCATTATTATTTTTCCCAATGTTTTCAACCTCAAACAGGAAGATGGTGGAGGCTCAGTGCACATCACAAAGAAACAGAAAAATCTTCCTCCATTGCTACCCCTAGTTTTTTTAAGAACATCAAGAACCTGAAGAGATTGATGTCCCCATTCTAACACAAATGTCTCAGTCCAAATCAGCAACAACAACAAACATTGAAGGACCCTTAATGTGTGATCAACTTCAAAGGGGAAGAACAAGAGAACCACCAGTTGATGACTCTCTCTAGAATAAGTTTAAGTATTTATCAGAAATTTAAGAAGTTTGAACAGTTGGTGACTTGATTTGTGTATTTTGCCTATGTTTTGTTTAATACTCTATGGTACATTGTCTTATTTTGTAATTTCTGATTGGCATGAACTCTTAGGAATTCTATTTTGGAGCTATGTTTTGAAAAGTATTGATATGATTATTATTAGAGATTGTGTACTCTTGTGAATGCTATGGAAAATCTTATTTTGATACATTCATATCATATGGTGCATTGTGTTCAATTTTGAATTTTTGTTGTGAATGTGGAAAAAGCACATTATGTTTTAATAATTGACTTAATTAGAAACTTGTGTTGGATGTTTTTGTTCAGTTGGTGCCTCAGTTTTGTGTGTTAGTGTGTTTTGTATGCATCTGTTGGGTTTGTTTTCATTTGTTAGTGCGTTTAGAGGGTCATTACGGTGTTATCTGTTTGTGTTGGTTTATGTTTAGGTGGTTATTACAAAATTTGGTTTCATCTGTTCACTGCTTATAAGTTTACCAAATAAAATGGCTGTTAGCAGCTTTAAAATTGTTTCAAATGTTCAATCTGTTATTTGTTTCCATTTGTTAGTGTTAGTTTGTGTGTCTGTTAGTGTTGGTTTCTATGTGGTGTTATATTGACATTAAAAAAAAANNNAAAAAAAAAAAAAAAAAAAAAAAAAAAAAAAAAAAAAAAAAAAAACAGAGACAAATCATAGTTCTAAATCAACAGAACAAAAGCAGAGACAAAAACAAATACAAGTCCAAAGAACCCATAAATCTGTACGAACAGTGAAACAACATTGTTCCATAAACATTGTCATCATCATTGTTCCATCAACATTGTCATCATCAACACAAGTTCTGAATCCTAAGAAACATTGTCATCATCATATTTAACAAAACTACATAACAAACTAAAGAACAAAACAAAGTGGCCAATTCCATTACATGAAATTTGTTCTGATATCAACTGAAGTAGCAGTAAAGGACCTCGAAAATAACAAAAGAAGATGCCATATAAATGTAGGTTCTCTTCATCATTGCAATGTTCTGCTTCAATTTGCATTTTCAGCTTCCATGGAATTCACCACATCTCGGCCGACGACAAATTGGAGGATCCTTCCAATTAAAAAATTGGTAACCACCTCTCTGAGAAGAAATTAAAAAAAAAAAAAAAGAACAATTTGAATGAAGAACTCTAAATTGGACCTCAATAACCCTAATTTGAGAATTAAGAATCCTAATTTAGGACTCAAGAACCCTAACTTGGGACTGAAGAACCATAATTTCGGACCTCGATAAAAAAAACCTAATTTGAGACTCAAGAATCCTAATTAAATATGAAATTTTTTACCTTCCGTTGAAGACAAGAATGAAATCTTCTTCCAGGATTGTCGTCGGTCCATGATGTGTGAAGCCCAACTCTCTTCCCACAGTAGCAATCGATAGCGCTTGTGGTATACGGCATTTTTTCTTCTTAGATTTGCAAGAATAGCAGGATTGCGAGAAAATTCTCATCCTCGATAATTTTTAACTCAATTTCAGACATTATTTCTTTAGACATGGATTTTTTTTCTATTTTTTTAATTTTTTTCAGACACTCGTGGTACTTTTTTATATTTTTTTAATTCTTAAATCCATGTGTAATGACACATGGATATAGAAAAACTTTTTTTATTATTTAGTTTGTAATCCACGTGGCAAAAGATCTATGGACAACTTATGTCACATCACCGCCGGTGTTTAATATGTAGGGCCAAATGGACGTCACGTCAAATTTATCAGCCAAAAATGCTACCGGAATATCGTTTTAGATGTATATTGTCAATTTTTTATTTATCAAAGGACGAAAGTACAACTCACCAATAGTTAGTGGACTAACGGTTCAATTTTTTCATATTTTATTTTTAAGGCATGAATCTTGATTAAACGCACCGTAGTACTTAATATTTATTTATGAAAAAGACTATGATTGCAAGGTGTAAAGCCATGAACCATGTCGTTATTTCTAGCTATCTCATCAACGTTAAAAGGAAAATTTAAGATGTGTAGGCGCAAAATAAGTGTTTTTTTTTTGTTAATCTTTTTGGTTGTAAATTTGAAACTTAGCCGGGTATTTCATTTTAATAGACCACATAATCCTCACAGTGGTAGACGAGTTCTGATTGGCGCGGTGTGACATAGTTCTCCTCGGCAACAAAACAAGCATAAAAGGTAAGAGATTTTAGACAAAGTAAAATAGAACAAGTACAACGGTAAGTCAGCATCTTGTCCATAAGGTCCCCAACTGCGAAAGCAAACTAAATAATCTCCTCACGCGCAAGTGATAACGCTTTATTTTAATTTTTTTTTAACACATAATTGTGTAGAGCCCCACAGGAAACCACTTGTTTTGTGCATGACATTGACTACAAAGTGCGAACCCATATTCCGCCATCTGCACGTGCAGCAACGAATAAATGGTTCTTATTAATTAGAGATTCATTTTCTTTTAAATGGTTAAGAAAAAAAAAAAAA